TTCGTGCAGAGACACACGAAAATTGCAACGTAAACCTTGACTACCGGTTGTCGGGGTGCAGGTCTTACGTACAATGGTCCAAAATAATCCACACCGGTCTGCGAGAATGGCCTTGACACGGTGACTCATGGTGCTGGCAGCTCCCCCATGAACTGTTGAACTGGTGAAGGTTTGGCACGAAAACACTTCATACATTGGTGGACGATGTTCCTAGCGACGTTTCTTCCACCTAGTGGCCAGAACCGTAAGTGAACAGCACCAAGTAGCAATTGAGGACCAGCGTGAAGAAGTTGCAGATGGTAATGCTGGAGGACCATTCGGGTAAGTTTATGCCGTGCAGGAAGAACTATCGGATGCTTCGTATCATGTCGTTCAGCAGAGTGCCCAAGCCGTCCACCAACTCCGATGACTTGATCATCGGAAATATACGGATTGAACCATCTAAGTAGAGACTTCCTGGGTATAGCTTCTCCCGAAAAACTCTGTTTTTCGGTTCTTTCTGCAGTAGTCGCATTAGCCGCAGCCAGTATGCAGTTCGGCGAATGAGGTTCGTATAGGATTCATACTTCCCCAAAAACCATTCATTAAACTCCGCATACCCCGTAACTGCACAAGCGATCGTTGTTCGTCGTCTTTCCTGCTCTACTTCCTCCATAGAAAGTTCACTCGGTGGATGAGGCCATTCCTCTGGATTCCCTTTCAACCAACCTGGTCCCTCCCACCAGAAGATATTTTCGACGATGTGCTTCGGTGAAATTCCTCTGGAGATCAAATCCGCCGGATTCTCCTTGCCATCGTGTTGCCATCGTGATGGTTCGGTGATAGTCTGGATTTTTGCTACTCTATTACCGACGTAAGTACTCCAGACGTTTGGAGATGCTTGAACCCATTGCAGAACACAGGTCGAATCAACCCAGAAGAACGTCCGAGCGGGAATCCTGATTGCGTCACGAACCTTTTCATACAACTGCGTCGACAGAAGCGCATCACACAGCTCCAACCTTGGTATGGACTGCGTCTTCAATGGTGTCACCTTGGATTTTGAGGATAACTGCTGAAAGGTTGAGCTAATCCAGGTAATCCTCCCTTCTGTATCTTGACTCCATACGTAAACACAGGCACCAAATGCCTCGTTCGAAGCATCAGAAAAGCAATGAATCTCGATCAATTCTGCATCTGGAATGACCACACAACGATCGATTCGAACCTCGTTCAGTAGAGGAAGTTGGTCGTAGTATTTTCTCCACATCTCACCCACCGTTGAAGGCAATGGCTGGTCCCAATCCAATGTCTGATCTTGCTCGTTCCTTATCTTCCACAGAAGCTGCATTATGACCTTGGCTGTGGTGATAGCAGCGCCGAGAAATCCTAAAGGATCAAAGAGTGTGGCAATCACTGAAAGGACTTGTCGTTTGGATGGATATTGTTCTGATGACCAAGGTGGAATATCGAACTGGAACTTCAGTTGGTCGGTGTTCGGTATCCAGGTCAAACCTAGCGTTTTGACTATTGGGTCTGGATCCAGGTTTATCCCATCTGAGCTTGGGATCGCCAGATTTTCCTCTGGGACTCCCTCCAAAACCTCCGGACGGTTGGATGCCCATTTCCGTAGCCGAAATCCTCCCCTTGACATCATTTCATCGAGCTGTTTCCGAAGCTCCCGTGCCTTTTCTATGGTATCTGCTCCCGTGATGACGTCATCCATATAGGTATCCTCAAGGGTTTCCCTTGCAGCCAACGGGTAATTGGTTTCCTCGTCCACTGACAGCTGATTCAATGTACGGGTTGCGAGAAATGGCGCTGATTTTGTCCCATATGTGACGGTGTTGAGCTCGAACACGCAGACGGGCTCCGACGGATCGAAACGCCATAGAATGCATTGGAGAGGCCTATCCACATACAGAACGAAGATTTGACGGAACATCTTCTCCACGTCGGCCACGAGGATGATTTGTTTCACGCGACTCCGAAGCATGATCGACCTTAGATCCTCCTGTACTATGGCTCCCACCAATAGTACGTCATTGAGTGACACGCCGGACGACGTTTTACACGATGCGTCAAAGACTACACGAACCTTCGTCGTAGTACTCGACTCCTTGATGACGGGATGATGCGGTAAATAGCAGCGCTTTTCGGAACCAGATGTATCCTCAACCTTTCTCATGTGTTCCAATTGGATGTATTCCGCCATGAATTTGTGGTATTGTTCGCGTAGACTAGCCTCCTTAGCTAATCTTCGCTCCGTACCTTGAAGACGCCGGAATGCGATGTCCCATGACTCGCCCAACCTGCAAACTGGGAATCCCTGTACACTGACTCTTGGAAAATCTCCTCACACCTTTTCTCCTCAGGCGAAAGGATCTTGGAACTATCGACCTCTTTTACTTGCCCAGAACCGTTCAACTAGCGCTTCCAAACCCTTAGTAGCTACCGTGCTACAAATGATACGTAGGCCGTGAGTTGGGTTTGATAGACCACCACATACCACCCATCCAAACACCGATTCGTTTAGTGACGGCATTTGATTCCCGAGTGAAATTCTTTGTCCAGTTTCGAAGAATTCGAAAAAGGACTCGATGCCCAATACCATGTTTTTCACTTCACCGGAGGTGTAAACTGATCGATTTCGTTTCGCATGAACTGTAAACTGCGAAAAAAGGAAACTGGAAAATGTTCCACAAACATTTTTTCACAACCTTTTTCGCTAGCGAAATTTCATAATTTTTCACGTGCTTCAATTTTCGCTTCGCTTCGATCTGTATACTAGGCTTTAGCTTTACAATAGAAATCACGAACCAGCTTCACAACCGATGTGTTGCTTGTTGGCAGTTTCGTTTCTTGGGCAGTAATCGATTGGCGTATGAATTCACTGTTGGTTATGTCATTTACAGAGAATCCGTCTTTGGCCGCCATACGTGCTACTTCTTCATTCAGTTCTAGTCGTTTCACAAAATTCATCATCGATGGTAGCTTTCGAAGAGGACGGTTCAGGTTACTCGTCGGCTGATGCTTGCCAGATATGTTGTGCTTCGACTGCAAATTACGCAGCAGTCCGCTCTTTGAGATCCCTGATTTGTGAAAATTGAAATTAATAACAAGAAATGTATTCATTTCTATTTCGTTTACCGCTTTTGTGTCTCCTCAGCTGCAGCAAAACACTAAACTGTATTGAATCCACTAAGAAAGATTGTTTAATTTCACCAACTGTAATTGATTAATGGTAACAAGTTTATGAATTGAGTCGTTTTCCTCATCTAATAATGATGGAATCATTTGACAGATAGGAATAAACATCATCGTATCATGACGGTATGCCTTCAGGCGCAATGGTCAAGTGTGAGTGCAATCATACTGTCTGATGACGTCAGCGGATATATGGAGTAGTTCGTTTTATCGCACTCACAGTCATTTTTTCGAAAAAATCTCTGCTGTAGATATGTTCAACTGATATCAAATTAAAACATCAATTAATTAAAATTATGCAGCCAAATTGAAAGCAATTTAACAATTAATGGCCCTTTTTACGAGTGCCACTTCACGGTGAAAACGAAGTGATGTGACCAGTTGTCACTCACGGTGAAGTGATTGCAGTGTAAATCAAATGTGAATCACTTCACCGTGAGTGATAAGTTGTCACTTCACCGTGATACATCGGTAATAAGGGCCTATATAAATTTCCCAGGAAAATCGGGAATCCAAATTTATATACCCGGGATTCGGGAATCCCAGAAAATCGTTCTCGGGAATGCAAACACTACTTCTGACCATACCGAACGTTAAAAATTGTTTATGATGATTAATTTTAAGGATTCAGATTGAAAAAAAAATCATTCAACTTCCAGAAATTGTCTCAATGTTCATGAAAACTCAAAATTCCTGGACATGGAAAAACTATCCAGCTCACTGACTTTTGAATTTTCCACTCAAAAGTGATTTTAATTCCTCGTCTAGGAAAATGTTCTGGGCAATCTTGGAATGGGAAAAAAATACAAACTTTGAAAATCGTTCTATATTCGGAATGTATTATTTCTTTCATATTTGGCAGATCAATTTTAAAAAATATACTTTTTAACAAAAGCTTCCTTCAAAGTTAGAGCTTATGGAATTGTGGAAATTATGTTTCCCTCATTTGCAGCATTAAATTAATAGTAAATTCTATACAAATACAATGCCATCCTTTTTGCCAATAATTGTTCCAAAACTAGTTCCTAGATTGTTTGTATTACTTTAAAAAAATACTCTTGTAAGCTTACATAGTATCTAAAATGCTCAGTAAGTTCCAAAAAACCGGCAGATGAAGTCGTAAAATGTCTGCAAATCGCATTACAGCACCGGCACCAAATGCGATACCGGTCCTATAAAAGAATCCCCAAATGACTTAACATTCGCTCACGTAACCGGAAAAGCATTTTTCCATCGCTCGCAAAACTGCACCACTATGTATCGTTGTTCGGTTGCATCTCCATCGCCTCCGGAATCATTATTTCTGGTTCCTGCTCCTGGCAGTGCATATTCTTCACCGTACAAAATGTTCATTTTTTCTCCGTCCCAAAAGAGCAAAAAATATGGTGCAATTTCTGTCACCGAAACGAAAACACCTTTCCATCGGTATGTTGCATTCGCCATTACCATCCGCCAGGCAAGGCGACACAATGCAGTCAACCGGTCGTGGCCGGTGGGTTTGGCCAAAAACGTGTTGCTCTCCTGGCACACCTACTGCGGGGCTGGCGGGATCCGGTGAAGCAAATTGATATAAATGGTCCCCTTTTACGACCTGCAGCAGCACCAGTCCCACAAGTCCATTGCAATCTAGGTTGACTGTTTCTGGGCTGCTGCTGCTGGTGCCCCCCCCCCCCCCCCCCACTAGAATGAGATACAAACAGGGGAAATATTTCACGAGCTGCTTTTTGCCACGTGCGAATTTTAGTACCTTTAGAATTACGTTTGAAGCGAACGTCTCGGAACTGATTGCAGTACGTTTTTCTTCCCCGTTGCAGTTCCTCGGCGTGTGGTACGTGATCCAAAAGACCGGAACCGCTTCCAGTTGCGTCATCTACAACATCACCAAGTCGGACGAACCGGGCGAGTTCGACATCGAGCAGGTGTCCCAGCGGAATCCACTGTCGGTTGGCCCGCTCAAGCACGAGTACAGCTACACCGGCAAGCTGACCGTGACCGATAAGGATGTCCCGGCGCGGATGACCGTCCGGTTCCCGCTGAGTAAGTTTAGTTTTTTTTTTGTGTAGTTCGAAAAATTGATGAATGAGTTTGTTTGTGATTTTTGTTTTCTTTATCCAGGTGTCGCCGGTTCTGCCAAATTTGTCATCTTCATGAGCGACTACAACACCTTCGCGGGCGTCTATTCCTGCCAGAAGATTCCATTTGGACACCGACAAAGTGCTACCATCCTGTCTAGAGCTCGCGATTTGGACAAGATCTACGTTGATAAGGTATGTTGGGTAGTCGAAAATTATGGTTGATCCTAATCTAAACGTTCAGAATACTATGAAACAATTTGCTATTAATTTCTCCTTAATCTAGTAATCCTCTTTGGTTCTGTTATCCAATGCATTCCGTTTTTCGTCGCCCAACAACTCGCTAAGCACGGCTAACATGTTTTCAACACGCTTTGCTTGTGTCGTGCAATCCTTTTCAACCAGATAGAAACTCGTAGCACAGTCCTGTGATGCACTGCCATCAGCCCATCAACAGGTGTCGCACGAAAAAGAATATACTGTAAACCGGGAGCATATTGGTCATAAATTGTTAAATAATAATGTTCTACAAAAAAGGACGTTGATCAAGTAATGATATTAAAACTAATAACTATGAGGACTCTGCCGTTCTACAACCCAAGTAACAATTGTGGTTTTATTATAGTCTCGTAGACCATGATTTGATCTTGAAGAACGCATTAAAACCTTGGTAAATCTTTCAATGTTTCTTGGGAAGGTTACTTATCATATTGGACGTTTTGCTTATTTACCAGAATACCAAATAGCCTACCCGGTGCATTTCTAAAAAAAAATGTGCTAGAATCCTTTTGATAAAAGGATTTTATGCAAAAATGCCAATTTCTAGATTTCTCTTAAATACACTGTTGCATGGTGAAAGCGAATCGGTTTAGAATGACACACTTCATAGATTTTTTTTACAAAATAACGCAACATTTAAATGAATGAACTCTTCCGTGAAAAATTAAAGAACTTAAATTGATATCTCTAACAATTTTTACAAGATTGATTTATTGACTAAATTTTCTGAAAACCATGTTCTTAGTTAAATTTTAGGACCTCAATCATAGTGGTCACTATATTTGCTCACCAATTACACAAGTATTTAATATGAAATGGGATGGCCACTCCGCATAGTGTGCTAAATAAAAACAAGCTTGAGCACACCTGGGCACAGTCATTGTCACTGTTTGGCACCCATGGTTACAATTTTTCTGATCTTTAAAGCTACTGGCAACATTGAACTTTTTCTGCGTCTGCGCAGTGTGCATGTGTCAAAATTTGTTTTTGAAGTTGCCACAATATAACCAAATTATTTTCAAAACACAACCGTGAATCTCCACCAACTCTTGCCATGGATTCTCACAATCGTTACACCCGTGACGGCAGTCGCGTCCACACTTCCTCCCAGACGAAGAACAGCTGACAGCGGTATCTTGACCTGACCGAGGTTTCCGGCCATGGCTACACGAGTTAGCGATGCAGCTCCCACGGCTGTGGCTGCTTCCAATGCAGCTGCTGCTGCTGCTGGTTGGTTCGTCTTTTTTAACGAATTTTATAGGATACCAACAAAAGGAACAGCAACAGCAGCAGCAGCATTGGAAGCAGCCGCAGCCGTGTGAGCTGCATCGCTAATTCGTGTAGCCGTGGCCGAAGCTGGAAATCTCGGGCCGGTCACGACAAGCGGTACTTGAGTTTTAATCGGAAAGTCAACAACCAAACAAAAACTATACCATCCGACCATTCGAACTGCTCGAGTACATCCATGGCGGTGACTACTACACCAACCATTCCATCGTGCAATAGATAATTTTGCAGGACCGTCTTGGCAAAATCTCAAATAGTTCAACAAATTATGTTTACTCTCGTGCCTTTTTGCACTTCCAACTACACAATAAGTAATTATAATTACGTTTCATTACATTAACTACACAGAAAAAGAAAAATCCTTTCTTTTCTCAGAAAAGAAGCTTCCGCTCTTTCCAAGCTTACGTGTTTTCGATGTTCTCGTTGCTCCACGCACCGTTCATAGTCTTGGAGGAGGAGAAGCACAGCTTCATAATGAACGGGAATTTTGTGCGTTTGTGATCGTTGCACTTCATGATGGCGATCACCGCCAGGGCTACGCTTGGGAACTCGACCAATCCGGAGGAGGAACTTTCCGATTTCAGCGGCAATATTCGCACTTGCGACGGGTTGCAGCCCTTGGTGGTGAATGCAGTCTGCAGCAGATCCTCGGACGGCATACGGGTGGGGTATTGAAGAAGTGGAGAATGCGATTTTTGCTGGCCTATAGTCCTTGAAGCTGATTGAATTGTCCGACGGGGTGTGTAGCGGCTGGTGGATTCTGACAAGTAGTTCTGCTTGACAAATGCAATCTGAATTTTGCTACCATCAATTCCATTCATTCAATGTTGCTCAAGTGCTGGTTGGCTGGTTGCTGCGTTCGACTGGTTCGACTGCGATGGCGTCTCCCATCTGGACCATGGCGGTACCCTCTTTGGTCTTCAGGAACTTTATCCTGACAACATTTCCGTACAGGCAGAACAGATTGAACTGTTTATCGGTGTTGGCTGTGTTGTTATCGAGTCCGTAGACCATCATCACTGCGCCCTGTTGCTGTGCCGGTTGAATGAAATTGGCTGGTCCGTTTCGGGTCAGCAGTGTCTCCTTCATCAGTCCGACGTGTGTTCCGGTCGGTGTTGGTTTCCAGTTTTCCGACAGATGATACTCCACGTTTCCTCCACAGGCTCCCAGAAGGGCTGGTTGACTAATGATTGACGTTTGTTGTAAGGGGTCGGCCTTCCACCGAAGATGGTAGGATCGTGTAGCAGCGGAGCTCGTCAGTCGCAGGCATCCTTGGAGACGGCTGCATCCAATGTGTAGTCCCAACTGGAGTCCGTGTCGTTTTTGTAAACATAGAAAAAAACAAAACCAAAACAAGAGCTGTTAAAATACCGGCATACAACAAGGCATTATTCGCAAGCAAAAAAAAAGTCAGTGCAATGACTTCTTGGCACTGCCGGCACAGCTGCGGCACACTGATAGCGAATTCGTTCATTATCGGGGTTGAAACTAGTGCGAAACCGAGCTTTTTGTCAGTGCGAACCGCAACCTGAGCTAGGTTTTAAAAACAAATGATCAAACTGAGGTTTATCAGAAAGCAAGCAGACCCAATCTTGATACCCAATCCAGGTTGGAACAGAATAATAAACGAATTCGCTATGAGGCACACTGAGAAAAATGTTGGCGCAAAATAACTGCCACCCCTTGATGAAAGGTCAAGGTAAATGACAATATACCTGCAAAAAGTATTATTTCACGAAAAACCGTTTTTTTTTTTTTTTTTTGTAACGCAACCCTAAGCATTAGATTTCGTTTTCCTAATGTCGTTTTCGTTTTTGCGGTGTAGCACCGGTGTAGTGTAAGCAGAAATAAGCGCGAGTCTTTGACAGCTCAACATCATTTGTTTGTAAACAAAGGTGCATCCTATATCTACACCCTAAATTATTTCGGTGTACGGCAGTGCAGCACCGGTGTAGCTACACCGCAAAAACGAAAACTACGTAAGCAATCAACTGGCTTAGCATGCATATGTGCGTAATCAGTTTCCAGGTGCAAGAAGAATGAGATCTGGAACGCTCGCACAATACAGAGAAGCGAAAAAAGTCACAAGACAAGGGCGAACAATGAATGAATTAGCAAGAAAAACCATCAGCACCGAGAGCATGATCAAGCTCGCGCGTGACGTTTTTCGTTCGCAATAATTGATGAATATCGTAAGATATCTTTTGGTATGTCAATTCGAAATATTCTACGAAAATAATTGATAATTGAAAGATAATTGTAATAATTATTTGCCAATGTCTTCTATGCGCTATCGCAAGAACTCCTTGATGAAAGCGCTTGAAAATAAATAGTCAAAATAATGCTAAGTTGAGAGAATTCCTAAATCAGGTTGGATATGCGCGTATTTGAGAAATAATAAGTGTGTGTCTGGGTAAGCTAATTGCAAAAACTACAAGCCCTATGAGGTTGTACGCAATGGTGTGTACGTGGTCTTACGTGGTCTTATATAATAAATGGTATTTGTTAGCTGCAGCAGGAGCTTGTGTTTTGTGTAGGAATAGGAACTTGAGCGGAGTTATCTCTGTTTATACTCTTTAGTATGACTATGATTGCCCTGATATGAATTTTAGTTGGGACATGTTCAGAAATTGAACTCTTTTGGAAAATCTTGGTGACCCTGAAAAGGGCCGATGCTAGTTCAGGCTTAAAGCCTTTGAAAGATGATGATGACGTGTAGGCAGCTGGATCAGCAAATCGGACAGGACAATCCCATATTCTTCGGTTCAATGATTGGGCACTCGCAAGAGTCTCGGCCCGTCTGCTGCTGGACAGGGGTTGAACTGGTTTCTGCGACAGGCTGGAAGGCCGCAGAATATCAGTGTCCACCCAGCTAAAGCTCCTCCCCCTTTTAGTTTTTCTCGTTAAACTCCTTCTCTCAACAAGTTGGTAAATCTTAGCTTTTAGCAAAAAGACTTGATCCTGTTTCAAACGAGTAGAAATAAGAAAGGATGTCCGTTACGCGCTCGAATTATTGAAAATTCGATAAATATATAATCGAATTGCTGGAAAAATCTTTACGATTAATCGTTAATCGAATAATTGAACTTTAGGCATTGTCCTTCGAAAATGTCGAAAAGCAGAATTCCAACCAGCAACTCAAGAACTAAAAGCGGTGCGATGCTAGTTTTCATTGCTATGACGACGACTGAATTAAGGAGTTTACAAGCAGAGTGATGAAAGTCAATTCTCTTAATCGATTTCCGCTTTTGATGACCATGGCTTCACTAACGTATTTCGCACTGTTTCTGCTATGCTCTTCTATCATCCAGAACAACAAATGTATCAATAAATGTGTTTGCCGTCGAGTTATTTACGAAACAGAAAGTCGATGAAGAGAATCGATCAAATCACTTCCACTCCTGCTTAGAAGTTTGGTTACAAGATTACAAATCTGGAGAAAATTTTGTGTTGGGGGCGTGTCGTTCTGAATATGGCGATGAGTGTTCAAAATTTTACGCAATTGCATCCTCCCTATTCGCACACGCTCGAAGATCGGAGGTGAATGTCACTTCGACTTGTTTCGTCTACTCAAGAGTCTCTGATGACTGTGATGGGGAAGCAGCATAGGCATTAGACTGATGCAAAAT